TATGATCTTTATTAGGTAAATCAGTTGTTATATTTAATTTATCATAAATTGTTTTTTCCATTGACCATCGACCAGATTGTACACCTTGAACTTGTTGAATAAAAAGATTTTCCATTGTAAATACTGGTTCATCTATTTTTTTATCCATTGGAAATGTCCATATATCAAGAGTATATATTCCTTCTTGACCTATACCACATATATTATCATGATAGATTCCATGTACTTCAACATTTGTTGATTGATTCATTTTTGCTTTTGTTTTACTTGAATAAATAAATTTTTGAATACGTACTGGAAGAAATGTTGTTTCAATACCTGGTAATATAACTAGATATGGATGAAAAGTAGCATCCATTACAGATGGATGGAGTAAATAATAATCATTATTATTATTATTATTATCATCCAATTCATTTGATAATTCAGATATAGCTGTATTTGTTGTACCACGTAATGTTTTCATTTTTTGAAAACTAGATCCATATTGATAACCTCGTGTTGAAAGATGTGCATAAGCACTTGTCATATCTTGTGTTGACCATGTATCCTTTATTGTATTAAGAGATGGTATTGTTAATGATTTTTGTTGTTTATAATTGATTTCAATTTTACCATGAGCATGTAGAGTAAATTCATTTAATGAATATTTATTAAGAATATTTTGATCATGAAAAGATTCAACAACATCAGCACAATTCATACCTGATGGACGCATACAATCTGGACCAGCTGCTGACCATGGTCGACTATAAATATACCATTCACGCATTGGCATGATTACTTGTGTAAATACTTCGATTAATTCATGTTCATTAAGAATCAGTGCTTTAACAAATTCTATATCTTCAAAAATAATTGTCGGTTGTTGTTGTTCATCATCTTTGGATGAAAGTAATTGATGGCAAGCAGCTATTGCAAGTTCAAGATAAGCAACTGCTGGAAAAAGAATTGCATCTTGAATTTTATGATCTTTTAAAAAAGCATGTTGTGGTAAATTAATATTAATAAGACTTTTCCATGTTGCACTTGTTTGATCATTTAATTGACGAATACCAACTAATGGATGAGTAGGTATACGATTCGCTAAACGTTGTATAGATGAATCTTTTGATTCATACCAACATGGACTTAAATGAAATTTATATAATGGAAAATCATCAAAATGTTCTTTATGATTTTTCATAGGTAAAATTTGACGAGTATGAAAATATTGTTGCCATACATGAGATGATGTTGTAAGTTGTGCTAAACTAGTAAGTAATGTTATTTGTTCATTTTCTTTTCGTTTTAATGTTGGAAGAATAAGTGGTGATTGTTGTTGTTGATTTTTTAATTCATAACATTCACGAATAGATGTAGCTAAAACTGGATGTGGTGAAAGTTCAAGAAAAACAGTTGGAGCTTCATGTTGTTGAATTGATGCCATAGCATCACGAAATCGTACACATTGTCTTACATTTGACCACCAATAATGAGCATCGACTGGTATCTGATCACTTAATTGATTACCAGTTACACTCGAGTAAAGATGAGCTTCAGCACATTTTGGATTGAACATATGTTGGAAATCTTGCAGAGGAAGTCCTTGTATATCTTTAAGTGACGATAAAATCTCTTTTTCGATATCGAATCGATCCATTTGATATGAATGAAATGCATTTTCAATACGAAGACGTGCTTTAAATACATTAGGATACGATATTGAAAGAATTTGTTGTATTTCATCAATAGTTTTTTCATCACCACTTATTGTTACTGCACGTGGACTATTAACAACAGCAATACAAGCAAGATGTTCAATACCTTTAAGAAGTTTGTTTTGTGCTTCTTCTTCACTCATTGAAACAGCTAACATACGACCATCTTGTCGTGTGTTACGATTTTGAAGACGTGATCGATGATAAACAACACGAACAGCTTCTTCTAATGTAAGACGACCAGCAACAAAAGCTGCTGCTTGATCACCAGCACTATGTGATATAATTGATGATGGATATATATTCCATGAAACAAGTAAAGCTGCTAATGCAACTTGTATAGCAAATAATGATGGTTGAGCAATATTTGTATCATTAATACGAGAGTCTTGTTCATTTTTCTTTTCAATTAATTCTTCTAATAATTTCCATTCACCATTATTAACTTTTGTCATTTCTGCATCAATTAAATTAATCCATTTATTAAATAAAGGTTCACTTTCATATAATTGTCTACCCATAGCCCACCATTGTGGACCTTGACCACTAAAAAACAAAACATATTTTTTGTGCTAATGGTTTTGTTGGACGTGATACGATTGAAAGGCCTAGTGATGCTTGTTCAGTAAGAAAAGCATTGATTTGTTCTTGTAATTGTTGACGATTGAGAAAAACAAAGATTGCTGAATGTGTATAAGTAATAGTTCTTTTAAGAAGAAGTTGTTGTGATATACGTTGAAGAAAAGCTTGATCATCATCATCATCAATATTATTAATTGGTTTTGTTTCTAACCAACGATTGAATTCAAATAATTGATCATTAAGAGATTGACGACTTTTTGCTGAATAAGATGAAGAAATAAAGTATTTATTAATGAAAAGAAATTAAGAACTTACTTGAAAAAATAAAAGTGAAATATTGTTTACTTTTATTGTGATACCCATTTATATGATCATTTGTAATTGATGTTTTTTTATTTGGTTGATATTCTTCAATAATAGCATGTGTCGTTGTACCACCCATTCCAAATGAATTAACACCTATAGCTATTTTTT